TCGGTTATTTTTTATAGGGAGATTGCCTAGTTGGAAGCAGCTGTGTTGCCTACAGGCGGGCGGGGGAGCGGGTTGATCTCTGTTGCTGTGCCTTTAGGTCATGTTTTGTACCGTGAGGTGTGATGGAAATAGCAGGAGGTGCGTGAGTGTCAGGAGTGCGGCGCTGGGTGGGGAGGCAGGGGCTGGCCGGGGGGCCGATGGCCTGTGGGCATCACACCACGAAGGGCGCTCTGCCAACTGCTGGTGTTTCTTCTTCAAACCAAAGAGCAGTTGTGGCCAAAGCCTGATGGCAGTAGGAGTGTTTCTACTCTGTACCTGTGTTGCACTTCGCTTCTGATGTTTATTTCAAGGGACTTTCAGGCTTCTTCGCGCTGCCTCCGCTTGGCCTCTCGCATTGCTTCTCGCCCCACAGCACCCAAGAGGGTCGCCGTGCTGGAGCTGGTGTTGTGTCAGCAAGCGGCAAGTGCTCACACGTGTCTTCAAGACCTGGTTGCCAGACCGTCTGAGGAGGTCTGGAGTAGGGGATGGTCCCTCCCGAAGGCTTGTCCCCTTCGGCAGGCAGCTTGAGAAAAAGCTGGGGAGGCGGCGGGGAGGGTTAGGCTGGCCGAAGACGGCGTGCATGCTGTCCAGGAGATAAATCCTGCTCTCTAGGGATGCTGTCCCTCTGGCTTCCTGGTCCAGGAAGAAGGTAGTCTGTTACCTGGGCTTTTTTCCGATCTTCACTTCCCCTTACCCTGCCTACAGGATGTCTTTAGCTGCCTCTCAGCCCCTTCCCCTCCACAGCTCTTTTGCTTATATTTTTATAAGACCTAGGCTTCTTTGCCCTTTATTCAGTTCTTTATTTGTAAGCAGCAGTTTGGTTTTCATCCCTTTTTCTGTTTTGATTGCAATGTCTCTTCTCCCTCTCCTTCCCCCGCCATTCCTCACCCAAGCTGGATCCAGGTGATACCAAACCACTGATGTCAGGTGTTTGGGACCCGAATCTTGCTGGAATTCAGCGGGTGCTTCTGGTCCTTCCCCTGTGAGATCGTCCATCTCGCCGGGCACGGGTGATACCTGTGGCCTGGCAGCTTGGCTCGACTGGGTCGTGTCCGTGGTACAGCTGGCTCTGGTGAGCAAGTCCGAGCCAGGACCGGGAGCCAGAGCAGAGCTGTAGGAAACGGGCACTGGGGTGAGAGCGGCCGTTTCAGTGGTGGGTCCCTTTGCCACATCTCCAAGGTTGGGGGTTTTAAGTCAATGAAGGGCTGTCAGACGTTCTTGGGGAGAAGTCATGGTGCTGGGGTGGGGTCGGACCGCTCAGTTCCCCTGGGAATGCCTGCGGAGCGGCTGTCTGCATCAGGCAGGCAGCTGAGCTGAGTTAGCCGTGGCGTGGACACCTCAGGACCACGGATATGCCCAGGCAGCCCTGCCAGCTCTCCGGGGAGCAGATGCCATCCCTGCAATCTGGGTGGGAAGATGTTCACGCGCTGGTCTTGGGGCCCGCGTGCTGGAGTGGAGGACGGGGGGGAAAGCATCCTCTGACAGTGGTTTGGGACCATCTCTGGGCGCTCAAACCTGGCCTTGCACTGTTAGGAGGGAGGAGAGCACTTTCTACGCTTCCCTTGGGTATTTACCATCAAGTCCAGGCTGCAGCCAGAGCCTGGCTATTAATAATAAGCAAAAACACTCGTTGTTCTTCGGAGTTCCTCCGTTGGGTGGCAAGTTCACCCTGGGGGAAGGTTCCTGCACACGCAGACGTAATGCTAAGATGCAATAACGGCAGGCCGGGGCGGTTTGGGGATGGCAGCTCTCCCCCGGGCCCTGGTGAGCACGGCTTCTCCCCAGCTGCCA